AAGTGGCGTCATTGTTTGCATTACATCTACAATTGTTGTCATATTTGCTTGATTATTCTGTAACAATAAAATTTGTCCCTGTAAATTTAAAATTAATTGCTCAGCATTTCGACTTCTATTTTTCCACTTACCCCATTTAAGATCAAGCTGAATATCACATAAATATAAATCATTTCCCAACGTATCTATTCTGATACGACATTGCTGTAACTCTAAAAAATACTGTTGACATGTAACTCTTTCATTGTTATATGCCGTTGTCATCATGTTAAGATCATTCAAGGCATTATCCAAATCAGTTTGTCGCAAATCCCGCTCTACCTCAGCATTGTATCTTCGTCGTTGCTCATTTATAAGATCTGTCTGAAGATTATCATATTTGCGACGTATCTGTCTTGTTGCTCTTTTTATTTGATTGGATAAAATCGTTCTATTTGTTCTTGGATTATCCAAATATCCATCGATAGTATTAGCTAACTCAGCTATTGTTCCCATTTCTTCAGATATATTACTGCCAGAGGAATTTGATAAATTTTGCGATTCTTCACTTGAGCTTCGTGTTATATTTATTGACATTAATTCATCGTATAAACGGCTTTGTCTTTCTCCGGGCTGAGATGCTTCTTCAAGACCTAATTCCAGTATTTGTAAATGAGAATCATCTGTTGATGAACCAGACATAAAACTTCTTTCCATACTAGGGACTTCTAACATATTATATAAATTTTGGTTCGTCTCGTCGGCTGTTTACAAAGCATGTTGCATATTTTGAAGCTCATGCTTATCGTGATAATGTAATAATCTTATAGCAAAATTTTGACAATGAAGATCGGTAATACGCCTTTTTTGCTGGGCTATTTGATTATTCCTATCTGTAAGATATTGTCGCAATGTTTGATTTTCATTACGAAGTTGCTCTATTGTATCAGTCATTTCTACTAACTGGTTATAAGATTGTGGAGAATTTCTTCCTGATGTCGATAGCTCTTTTATTCTATGCTTGAGCTTTTTTTCTCGGACATCAAATTCACCTAATTGATTTTCTCCGATGGCGAGATCCTTCTCTTTTTGCCTGATTTCTTTTCTAGCTTGATATAACGATTTTTTTAAGTCTGAGATTTCTTTCTGTAATTCCTCTCTCTCTTGACTAGAAAGTGATATAACGCTTTCAAGCTCATTTTCCAAAAATTGAATTCTTTCCTCACGTATAGCTATCTGTTTTTCGAGATTGTAATTTTTATGCTCATAATCTCGATTTGATTGAGCTAAACGCGTTATTTCCTCGTGAAGTTCTTGGTTAACTTGATGTAATTCCTCCATGGTTTTTTTACAGATTATTAATACTTGAAAGGAATGGAACAACCCGTAATTTATATTGACCCCAGAAGAGGTCGTGAACTAGATATGGATATTGCATTACAAAAAGCACGTACCAGATTTAAAGAAATGGGACAACCTACAATTCATATTGATCCCCAAAAAGCTTACGATTTGGATAGAGAAATTACTCTGCAGGAAATATATTATCGACCCGAAGGTTATTACCAAAATGCTGAAAGGTTATGTGATGCTTGTAGAAAGGCTGGATATAACTTTCCACTTATTACAATAAAAAAATGGCTTGAACCTCAAAAGATGCATCAAATTTATCGCCCTTCGCCAAAAAATGCACCTTATGCTAGTTATTCTAGGATCTCGAAACCGAACAGTGTGCACATGTGTGATTTAGTTGAGATACCTTATGATGACGAGAATAATTTAGATAATTCATATCAATTAATGAATACTCAAATATCAGATGAAGACTATACAATATTTTATTATGTATTACTGGTTGAAGATTGCGCTAGCAGGTTTAAAGATTTCATTTTTTTAACGTCTAAAAACAGTTCAGAAGTTGCAGATGCATTCAGAAGTATATATGATAATCCAACTAAACCACTTATCTACCCTCGACTTTTACAATGTGATGAGGATCGATCATTTATGGGTGATGTGACTTTATTAATGGATAAATATAATGTTGAAATTAGAAGAATCAAAGCTCGTTTTAGACATACAAGCTTAGCTATTCTCAATAATTACGCTGGACTTTTTACTAGAAGAGTTTTCAAAAATCAGTATGCAGTGGAATTTCTTATACCTGATGGTAAGCGCTGTAGAGAATGTGAACGATTTGCACGAAAAATTGTTGACGATATGAATGATACCCCAACACGTCAAATCGGTATGAGCCCTAATAATGCTATAAAACTTGAACGTGTATATTCCAAACCGTCGACAAATTATTATCGTCCAATAGGTATTGATGAGCCACAATTACCAAAGGGAACTATAGTTCGATTTTTACTGGCTCCTGGCAAATGGGAAAATGATCCTTTCGAACGACGCAGAATATCGGATCCAGTATGGAGTCCAAGCCTTCATAAAATTCGAAAAATTGTTGTTGGGAAAAATCCACCAATGCCTGTATTATATTATTTAGATGAAACAGGTCCTCAACGTCCTTTTGTGAGAGAAAAATTAATGCATATTAAGGAGAAACCTATTCTACCTCCCCAGTGGGTCTTGGAAGATAACCGAATGTGATCAAGGCACTCTTTATAAAAGTTAGTAAATCGATGACACAGTATGGTATTGTAATAAGAATTATACCTTCCTTAAAACATAGTGCTCTCTTTTTCCAATCTCGTTGAATTTGAGCATCTAAATTAATTTGTCCTTGCGGATGGAAAAAAGGAACGATTTGAAAATGTTGATTGCCACTAAATTCGAAAGCCAAGTGTAATTCCTCATTATACCCATCAAGTTGTAAGCCTCCTAAAAATTTGAGTTTTCGAGGTGAGAATTTTTTATATAGTAATTCTTCGAATATATATCGACAAGTTCTTTCAGATATATGAGGACAACTATTGCACCACTTATAATTTCGTTTCATATCTCCATAAGATGCTTCCCATTGATGCTGATTTTTACAAATCCATAAATGAATATTGGAATTTGATCTGACTTTAGCTAGGCATTCACCTTCACGTCTTTTGGCATAAATAAAGGCATTAGTATCAATCTCATTACAATCTTGCATTTTTATAGTATAACCGAAAAAAAAATAATATAATATTAAGACGTACATGGGGATTGAATAGGAAAAGTGATCAGTTACATAGTGCATGAAGTGGGTAACCAGAAATTGTCAAAGGCAGTCACAAAGTAAGTATATTGCCAACAAAGCTAACACAACTAAAAACTTACTAGTCGCTATGTGTCTGTTTTTAGCAAAGGTTTATCCCATCGATATCGAATTGATAATGGATCATCGGCCGGTCTGCGAATATCAATAATTACATAATGCTTTTTTATTACTTCATAAACTTTTTTTGCTAGAGATTCATAATCATCATACATATCTTTAAGAATTCGTTTTATAGTTTCTAATGTACAGCCACGATGTAATGAAATATATGTTAAATTTGCACGTATATTTGGGTGAGTTTCAAAGTAACGTTGTGCAATGTAAATCGAACTTATTCCCTCATGTCTACCACTCCTAAAAAATGGTATAATTTTTTGCTGAATTGATAAAGGTTCACCAGCAAGATCATCAAATACTATAACAGTTTTCCGACCTGTATTTTTAAATTTTGAGATATCAGGTATTTTCTCTGGAGCAATTAATTTGAATCGAACATTTTCATACCATGGGCAATTTTTATCTCTAGCTATAAATTCATAAAAATATTGTACCGTTTTCCATAATACCTCATCTTGATGTTGTGCAATAACGACTAAATCATCACAAAGAATATACCTTTCTCCATAGTTTTCGTTTTTTGGTGCTTTATTTTTATCTTTATTACCAATCATATATGGATATACTTTTATATATTTACTACCAAGAAATTGATGTCCAAACATTTCCATTTTTCCTGATTTACTGGTTCCACTAGCTAATATTCGAAATGGTTGTTTTGGAGCATATGAATTTTTTAAAGATATAGATTTATCTGAATTATGAAAACTGTAATGTTCCATACTTAGAATAGATAATTATTTTTCATATATGTATATTCCGATAAAATAAAAAATATGTATATCTCAATAAAAAATATAATATAATATACTTACTACCTATTATTGGGATTTCAGACTTGCAAGTAATTTTTCCACTTTTTGCAATTGTATT